GAGTTATGATAGCCGTTTTCGGTATGTCGTCAGTAGCCATAGGGATTTGGTTATACGCTTTAACCAAGTCGATTTTCGAAAAGACAGTTGTACCTTTCAAGGTAGCTGTCAAATCGTGAATGTGAGGCAACGGGTAACGATCGGGAATGGTTTTCGCGTTCAATCGCCGATAGTCACCAGTTGGACGCCAATCGTTGCTGTCCTTTTTAGGGACCATGAGCAACGGAGATGCATATGGGCTACTTGACGGTCGTATGATTCCTAAGTCCATCATGTGATCGAATTCGTTTTTCGCTAACCTTAGCTTTTCAGGAGCTAGTCGGCGTGCTTTAGAAAATACAGGTGGTCCTGTAGTCGTGATGTGATGTGTAACATTGCTGGTTACACACGGTAGTTTCGTTTGAGTTTGTTGTATCTCAGGGTACTTATCGAGTAGTGGTTGATAGAGTGGGTCTATCATATGCTTAATTGTGACTGGGGATAATTTGCAACCAGAAAAGGAAGTTACGCAAACGGACAAATTAGTGTTCCGTCTACTAGCCTCCGTTTGCGCGTGTCTATGATCAGATTATGGTGTTGTAGAAGATCCATACCAATGATTGGCATCGAAACATCTGCAACAACGAAAATCCAGTGGATGGGTTTGCGTAAACCCACGTTAAGGTAAACGTACCTTTTGCCATACGTAGCGATCGGTTTTCCGTTTGCCACCTGTAAGTTTAGGGTCGATTCGTGTAGTCGGTCGTTGGGATTTGCTGGGAGAACGCTAACTTCTGCGCCAGTGTCGACGAGGTAGCGAACTCTCGTTGTCACATCTTTGACGAATAACAGACGGCTTTGTTCGCCGGCTACGGTTGCCGTTAACGCGTGCCGGCTTGGAAGTTTCCCGAATTGCTTTTCGAATCAGTCGGTTTCGTGTTGGGAAAATTGCAGGGTTTCCTGCAATTTCTGGAAAACTTTCCATACTGGTTATGATACCAGCACCAGTCGGGGTTATCTGTCTCTCGTGGTCTAGAGACAGATCGCTTACGAGAAATGCTTCTACGTGGTGTGCGCGATCTCTTACGGTCGGTACGAAGACTAAGATAACGCGTGAGTGTGTGACATAAGTCGTTTATATCATTCTGAGTCGTTTGAGGTTTTTGTTTGACTGAAAATACCTCGGTAGTAGATTTCGTAATTTCTAAAATGCGGTCGGCAGATGCAGCTAGTTCGTCTAAGGCGTTGTTCTGGAACGAGACCAGAACTGCTTGCACCTGTTGGGGAAGTTTTGACAAGAAGAGTTGTTTGAATAGTCCTTCTTTGAAAGTTCTTGGGCCTATAACCTCTCTCATCCGTTGCCACATGTCTGTCGCAGAACCGTGTTGCAGGTCGATATTGTTGAAGAGTTGATCTAACCTTTGTCGATCGGTTAGGTCTCCTCGTTTAAGAATCGAGCGTTTTAAGATTTCGTAAGGATCGGAAACATCACTAGTAAACATACTAGATGTTACGTACCTATTGAATTCGCGCGGTAGTGCCTTGACTACTGCGAGGAATTGTGCACGTGTGTCGATCACGCCGTGCTCGGAGAAGTCGGCTTCGGCGTAGCAAAACCAGGCTTCGATGTTGTCGGGCCAGAAAGGCATCAGTTGAAACGAAGGCGGGGACAAAGTCTTAAGCTTGAGTACTTTAGGTGTCTGTTCAGTCATGATGAAGTATGAAGTACGATAATGAACGAGGGGAAAATATATATATCCAGGAAAAAACACGAAAAAAAAATCACAATGTTTAAAAAAATAAAAAAAATAAGGCAATGATATATAAAAATCCCAAAAAGGAACAGACTCACAGTTGCAATTAGGTGTACCAGATCACGTCGGTTTCACCAATGATGATGTCACAGGTATTCAGTGTTTGACAACGCTTCTACCAGTAACACCTTCTAATATATTTCGTTCCCGCCCAGAGAAATCAAAAGACAGAGTCGAGGAGATTGGAAGAGTATATTTGGCGATGACCAATATATCTGAATTCTCTGATCTAATCTGGCTAGCGATTGCGGTTGATGTTGAGCACGGCGTTACCACACGTGATCTGGTGCGGATGCCTGACCGAGCGCCTTCAGCTAGGTGAGTCCACTAAAACATATGGTCAGCATCCAATGTCGAAAACCTAGTGCTATTTATTTTGGGGATTTATTTACCGCTACAGGACTAAGAGATGTTTAAGGAATTATGCTCGACTTTTTGAGGTTGCATTTGGGATATGGGATTCAAGCAGCGAGTCCTTGTTTTATGTATGGAGCAGTTAGGCTAGAACGAGTAGTAGTGAGAGTTAGTGACTGGAACGCCCTATGCGAACAAGTGGTATCGGCTACATCAGTGAATATTTTCAAGGAGAAGCTGGACCTTCACTGAAAGGCAATCCTATCGAAATTAACACAGGTTCACTGACACACAATCCTCTTAAACACCTGCTCAAGTTTAGCTCCAACACAAACCAAAGGGGCAAAACCCAGAAACTAGAAACACAACACAGCAGAACGGTCTGTAGACATATCTACTCCTCAAGAGATGTAAGATTCCTTTAAGAGGAAACTTGACCATTTCTTAAGAACTAAAGATAATATCTTACTATGATTTACCAATTTCTTTTTCCTCTATCATCGTTAATATACCTAGGTTCCTGCCTGGAGCTATTGTTGATCCACTGCTACCAGATATGCAAGCTCGTTAGGCGAAAGCTTATTTTATTCAGTCTACAACTATTTTAATCATTTGAAGACTGAAGAACCATATGAACCATTGGATGCTGATTTGTTACGTTTCCATAACTAAATGCTTTGTGTGGTTTTGAAATTCCACGAAACAGGTCGATTGACTGTTTTTCAGATTCTAAGGGTCTTTTGTTCTGATATAGATGGTTGAGTGACTTTTGTGCAGCCCTTAAAAACATAGAGATAAGTGTTGTAAAGCCATATGTCTTCATGCAATTTGTCCTATGCATTACATATTGTCTAAACCTAGATTATGTGTTTTAAACCTTATGCTTTTGGTAACTGCGTTATTTATTAAATTGCTGATCAGGTCAGCTGAACCAATAATATTATTGGTAATTTGATGGAGATGATCCATATTGCTATTTCAAGCTAACTGTAAAGGAATAATATTCTGTTCATTTTCTTATCTTTGAAGTAAATTTGGTAAATCTTTTAAATAGTCCAGAAAAATCGGAAAAACTCAAAAAAATACAGAAAAAGCGTTGTTTTTAAGTGAATATTCATATATGGTCGATCTTCTTCTTTTAAAAAGAGGCAGGGAAATTCATGAATATTCCGTTAGACTTATTCTTTAAGGATCCCTGCTAAGCTATCAGTAGAATCCCTCATATAGGCTCAAAAGCAGAATTGAGAATCTGTGTGAATTATTTTTTACCTAGAGATTGAATTAGAAACCTTTATAATGGAACTTTACTCCTAGGCCATAAAATGGCTTAAAGACTATCAGAACAAACTAAAGGTTATGACGGGCCGTTTCTGTACTCATAAAAAAGGTTTGAATTTGTGAATAGTCAATAATTCGTTCCTCAAATTTTCCACAGAACCCTTCAATGTCGGTTCTACGGTCTGTTTCAATCATGTGGTTTGCTATCGATTAAGATTTCATATCATTAACCTTCACTAATTTTCTTACAAAATGCCTTGGAAAGCATATGTGACCGAATTGTTCGAAATTTATAAGATGATTGCATCATTTTTTTCAGATCAACTACACCTTCTCATTGTTCCATTAAAATTTACACAAGGAAGTGCTCTAATTTTGTGAAAATGTAAATTTGCGGACGAATTAACGAAGTTAAAGATAGCGTCTTGAATTTTGGCACTAAACACATTCATTCTTACGGCTAAGCAGTATTTTGACCTCATAGTTGATATCACTTGGGAGTAAAATTTTTAACTATTGTTCCTAACTTTAGGGTTTAACTCTAAATGCTAATCCCAACTCCTCACACTAATTTATATCCCTCTTTCAACTCCAGTGAGTAGCGGCATTTTCCAAAAGTCACTTTAGCGTCACTTAAATGTCGTCCATAAATTATGGTCATACTGTAAATTCTTGTGTAAGTGTAGCAGAGCGATATGGTCCCTATAGTATCTTTCATCACTACATAAGATATGGAGTCTCTTTAACTAGCGTTATTGATCATAAGGAGCTTGAGTTTGCAGTTATAACCTCAGGACCGTAAGTACTGACATTGTATAATACAGATTTGTGAGATAAGTAAAATGGCACATTCATTTCAAAATACGACATCTAACTAAGCATGTGATTGTCAAATGAATTAGTTCAATCCTATTGGTTAACTTGTGCCTTACATGTGAATCCTTCTAATATTCTTTTGAGTGGTTGTCAGCCTATATACCTATCTGTCGATCGTATTACATTGTTATACTGTTAGGGTTGTACACAGAATATTAACTTTTGCACCAATATATCTAATTTATTTCTTCCATCTAGGACTGATAACCTGAAACGATGTCCTCAAAAGATCCCAGAAACCAAGATCTAGTCTTTTGGTTTTGGAGTTCTGTTTAGCACATCAGGCGGCGAATTACTGGGATTCGGTTTTAGAACACACGCTATTAGCAACTACTGATTCATACAAAGCGAAATCAGATCTTCGTAGTACTATAAAACTAAAGGGTTAACAAAAGTTATCTGACCTTCTTTCTTTACAATTGGAGACTGACGTATGCATCTTGATGGATTGATCGCTCCTACGATTGTTTCATCTATAATATCAAATTAAACTCCACAACAACTTCATATAAATTTATTCAGTTGCCGCTGTTTTTTTGAAACCTTATTCCAATGGAAACTGTCAAGATTTTTTATTCCCAGATCTAAGTATACTTCTGTGTCTTCCCTATCTAGGCGTTACACACTCTATAGAATTAAATAATCAAGTCATTCAGTGGTTGAATTTCCATATATCAACGAGGAGCACAATATTTCCGCATGTTCCTTAAAACACTTCAAGATTTAAAAGATATAATAGGTACTACTCATCTTCATGTTTTTTTAATTTTTTAAGTTACCAAACCCGGTGTTTATGATGTTTATTTGAAAACAAATGAACCGGTTTCAGAAGAAAAAATTCAAATATGGGAGTCGCTTAACAACTTAACCTTGCCAAATGATTTAAAAGACTTTTATTTGACTACTAATGGCATCGAGCTTGGATGGTACAGTATTTGTAATGGTAAGTTGTAACATAATTAAGAGAATTCTTTAGAAAAAACATCTGTAGCTGGACTAATCAAGATAAATAAACTAGAGGATTTCAAATCCATAAAATTAAGTTGCATAAATCTTGATGGAGAGGCAAAAAACGACGATTTTGAGGTATTTGTAAACAGTTTCCTGGGCCCTGGATTCAACAGATGGCCGACTAGTTATGAACTAGAAAAGTGTCTGAATGGCACTACGGTTATTTTTGTTTTTAGTGATAATCAAGAAGGTGTTTTTATTTTAAATAATGATTTGAGTATTCACAAGATTTGCTGCACATTTCGGCAGTACATCAGATTAGCAGTTGTACATTTAGGCTTACAAGATTGGCAACTTTGGTACACTGATGATGATCCAATTCCAAGTAGCCAAGTAATGTTTACATTTTCCCATCACTTTTTCAGCAATTATGTTCTTTATACACACCTGAACGTTTGTTTCTGAATACACGTGAATCTCATGAACAATTTTCAGCGAACTTAAAAGACTGGGTTCCTGTTTCCCTTAACTCCAGGAAACTACTGAACTTTGAATTTTCTAGGTAAAGTTACATGTAACATAAGTATTAGTTTAGTTCGTACTAATTTTGTTTATAAATTTAGTGTCTTCACAGTGTTATACCGAAAGCATTGTATAGCATCTAGTTTGGATAGCGCTAAATCTCATATATAAACATAAAATGTAGTGTTTCAGTATGACCAAATACCTGCTTTTACGAATGAGTCTTAGTGAAAATGGGGCATTAGAGCACTTGTGGTAATCCTGTGCGTGAACTCGTGTCTGACGTTACCTTTAAAGTATATATATTAAGGGGACTTTTCTCACATGTGAATGAAGAATGTTACCATGAAAATTTAAGCCAGAAGGTTGGTGTTATTCCGGCAGGTATTTGGTTACAGAGTTGTAAAATGTTTGGTGATTTTGCAAGTTTATTGTTTTGGATAACGAGAGTAGCAGTGGGTTGTCTTTGCCAGCTTTGTTTTTAAGCAACTTGAAAGCTATGATCAATTGTCATCCTATTGTTTTACGTGATTAATTGAAGATATTTAGTGTAGCTAATCTCGCGTCGTACGGAGCGTAAAAGTTATTTTTATTACGGTCGTTTTAATGGCTCAAAATCTCTAAAAAATTACGATTTGATTTTAAACATTAAAATACTTTTAAACAAATAAGAATGTCAACGAATCTATAGTGTGTAAGTCCTTTTAGCTGATCACTCATTTACTGAATCATATAATATAGACAACTCTGTACCTAAAAGATAAGATCGCACTAGATATATACAGTGATTTCTCAGGCCAATAAATCGCCTGGAAAACATAATAATAGTGTGAGTTTCGAGTATATTGCTGGATGAATACTTAGGCGAATGTTTCACTTGTCGACAGTCTGAAAGTGTGAGAGAATCCTTCAATAATTTTAAGGTGGTGTAATTTACGAACTAATTTAAAGATACCATTTCACTGTGGCCATTGTAGCATTTTATAGGCTTAGAGCTGATTGTTATGGTTGAATCTCAGTTTTAAAGAAGTATAAAGCAGAAAATATTGTGATTTCTATGGTTTTTGCTACATAGACACTTGAACTATTCAGTATTTGAGAGTTAGGACTCTAGTTTGCGTTTATAAAAAAATTTCAAATCAATATTTCAAATGTAGCTCGTTGTATAAAGTATTCATTATTCTAACAGCCAGGCTTTATTTCATCATTCAGTACAAATGACACTTTTTATAACATGCCTAAGTGCCTTAAAAGATATTTCTGGTCTTTAAAACATGCCAAGTTAATTAAAAATATATTTTGCTGGTCATCAACCAGTAGGTAGCTGGTTTAGATCATGTCTTATTTACTTTAGTTTAGGTAATCGGGTAGTATCACTAACACCTCAACCATGCGGCTTAAAGCTGAGCACATATACCTGTATTTGTTACTTAACTTACTGCATACATATTGTGTGTTACTCATACTGTAGTAAGTCTACTCCGGTAGTCAGTCACATGTGGGTTCATCTGTTTAAAGTTTTGGTTTCTAATGTTCGTGGGTACAAGATTATCTCTCGAGTTTTGGGAGCAAAGTTACACAGTAAGTTTCTTTAACCTTGTTATATCCACAATGCTTGTAACTTAGAACTGTATGATTCACATGGCTGAGAAGTGTTGGGTTCGGAAACCGTACATAGTTATCCTTCAGTAGAAAATCTGAAATTAAGGGTTTTGATAGTTAAATAGTTAATTATTATTATTTTATAAAGCTATAATCTTTGGAGCAAGCAGTTTCCGTAATGAATTTAAAAAGGGATTATGAGCTGTTTTAATATTTGTTGATAATCTGTTTGTGAGTTTTATTGGTAACACATTGTGATATTTCTCACTGGTTTCCTTGTTTATCGAACATTGTTTTGAAATCGTCAACATAATAAATATTCATTATTGTTTGATTTCAAACTCTTTTTAGTAGGATGAATCGTTCTAATTCTTTTGGAAAAACTACCGTTCAATCGGATATGTCGAACAAACACGGAAGGTATGTTAGGCTCTTATCTGCTGATTTATGCACTAAATCTTCGACTTAAAATTATTTGAAGCCATTCTTGATTTCGTTCCTTATCAAATAATATTAGGAAGCTAAATTATATCGTGATCGTTTACAAATCTAATTTTGACTAAAAATAAAAACTTAAGCTTGAATACCTGCTGATATCATTTCCACTGAAGTCTTTACTGGCTAAATTCTGGATATGTCAATGTTTATAGTCTGCATTTTATAGATCTAAAAAATTGATAGACTTATGATCACATGCAGAATAGCTTTCCATCTGGATTAGTTAAGTTTGTTGGAAAATAGGATTTTATATTTTACTTATTATGATTTCTAAAATAACATATTAGAAGTTTGGACAACGAAATGTGAAAAGTTTTTTGAACCTATATATATATATATATATATATATATATATATATATATCTTTCGCCGTTGCGAAACATTTGGTTAAGATTAGTCATGGGGTGGAAATCAAATTAACCTTGCAGTGTTGGATACGTGTTTAGAAAACGCATACTAAGATTTATTAAGGCCTCGGTCAAATGAAGACTGAAGCCCCTTTATATGTTTTTTCCTGTTGTATATGTGAGTTATCAGGAGTGTGCATTCACAAACTCCCTAATGATCAAAGGAAAGCTCTTCAGGTCTTACTGCAAGCGCATTTCCTTAAACCATTAAATGGATATCAAATAGTTCACAATTTCTACTTCACTTAAAGTACGAAATCTCGGTTACGGGATCTTTTGCCATTGGTGTACCTTTTTCACTCCCGAGATGCTTGAGTTCTATCATCATTGAACCACAGTGTGGTTACTGAATGACCTGAAGGCAAGACTTGGTGATTGTGAATATACGTTGCTATTGCGTTGCATACTAGGACAAAATGGCTGTCTAGTTTTATTTGTCTGTTAATAGGAGACTAAATAAAGTTCACTCATGATAAACAACCTTCACAATTTTCAAACCTTAACGGTTTAACATTTTCAGATGAACGAAGTTTATCAAACTACATGATTTAATAAGGCAATACATTTTGAATGATCAAAATGGATAGTGGCTTTTGGGATATTCCATATTAATAGATGAATAATGATACTATAGTTTATGTACAATAAATGTTTTCTCCAGAAAAGATACATATACACATGGTTTCTTATTATAGATACTTACAACAACTAAAGTCAAGTATGGTAAACACATTCGGAGAGTATATGCACCATACATTCATATGAACTGTTATATAATTAATGAAGCAATAGTCTGAAAATGGGTATGCTAACATCCCAAAAAATATACACATTAATTCATCTCTTTCTTATTGGGAAACTATATAGGTTTACAAAGTTGAAAGAATCGTATAGACATTTAATGTAATCATGATTAATTGTGTTAGTACAAAGTAGGAAATGTACAGTTAGAATTCAATTGGTAACTAATCATTACAACTAATCTAATTATAGATAATCATATATTTGATATGTAAACGAAATAAATAAGTTACTATGATAAAAACCATAAATGACTTTTATTTGAAATGATTTTATTTTTGATTTATTTACTTATGAGATCAAATTATTAGTAGTTAACTCTTAAGATCGCATCTGATACAACTTCATACTTTACAATCGTACAATCGTCGTGAGCAATAACTGGTGGCCCGAGAGCTGATTCCAGTTAGATTGTATGAATGTTTGTTGTTGGAATATACATATTGCTAATCTTCGTATATTATCACTGACTTGACTCGTGTTGGTGAATAACGGGATTAAAATAAGTCAAGCACGAGAATGCATTTCGAATACGTATATTTCGTAAAATCATTGATTGGAAAGCGAAGCAAAACAAAATGGCACACAATGAAGGAGGATAGTGAGCCAACTCGATTTAACCAAGCGCGAATTGATATTTAAATCCAGACAGATAATTTAAAGGCATGTGATGAGTAAGATAAGAGATGCACACACATACGTTTACATAAAAATCAGTCAATGTTGATAAGCGAATAAGTGACAGGGTAAAATATGTCTTGAGAAGAATGAATAGACTAATCTGTCCAGAGGCTAGAATAACCTATATAAGCTTGACATAACACCAGCAGTTATATCACAAACAGCTTTGGACTTGTTCATTCATCTTCGCTTCTATTGTTTTCAGTGGGGTGAAGGTGAGAGTATATGAAACGATGAGAAGTAATGTGAATATGGATTGTTAATCAATGTTTTATTATACCGGTTAATTGAGTACCATTGGAGATTTATGAAATAAAAATTCTGTTACATATGGTATACAAAAATGATTTAGGGTTTCAATTTCATATAAATTCACTGCAATGCCTCGGCGATAAGTATTATTCATAGTCTATTCAACATCAGTTATTTTAAGAGCTTTCAATAACTAATAACAAATAAAGTGATATTCGTGAATTCATTGAACTCATAACTAAAATACCATTAACGTTCTACTCATCATCATCATCATCATCATCATCACCACCAACAACAACAAAATGATGAATTTGATTGAATTATAACTTTCCATTTCATTTTTAAATCCTAAAACAGGATTATTAAAAGTGTGTTCACCTAATGTTGTTTTGTTTTGTTGAAAAGGAATGAGTTCCTTTCAACTTTTTTCTCTTTAATGCCAACATTGTAGTATTTAATATGAGTTTATATTAGTGAGCAACTATTATATTTTATTGTTTATAATTTTTAAAATAGAAATAATGAGTGAATTACAGATATATATATAAATAAATAACTAAATAGAAAACAAACAAACAAACAACCATTTATACAGTGTAAATTATAAACAATTGGATTATTATTATAATAAAATTGTACTCTAACACAATTTGCAATAGTTTACAGCCATTTTGATACGTTTATTTTATTTTTTATAAAGATTATAGACAGTACCTGATTAAAATAATAAAGCGAAATGAAATATCGTAAAGGTTAATGTTTAAAAGAAGAAAAATAAAAAGGACATGCTTTTTTTCATTGGAAAATAAATTAATTTAAAGAAAATTAAAATAATGGGAATATTGAAAAAAAACCCAAAAAAACAATTTCCATTTTATTTTCATCAGGGGGGGGGGTTAGTGTTACCACAGTATATAATGTTTACAAAGTTACTAATTTTTTCTTTCATCGATTTAGGTAGTTTATTCTTTATTGTCTTGTTAAGAAATGCATATATTGAAAATTAATTTATTGATTCACTGAAATAAACAAGGTAATTTTTATATGATCCAGTAAAAAAATTCATATGGAAATGAAGGGTACAGAAAAGAAAGATGAAAGTAGAATATGGCAGGAAAAACTTGATTCATGCGTTTACATTCAAAGAATTGATAATAATAATAATAATCATCTCTATGGCAACATAATCTGTAATATAAGATCGTACTGATTTTGTTGATGCAAACAATGAAGAATAAATGAATATTAGATTGATTATTAGAAACTGGTATGTTTTTTTAGTCATACTGAAGAGTTTGAGCATTTTGGTTGAGTTGAGAACAATTTAATAAAAAAATATTATATATTTTTATTGACTACATGAAATTAGTAGGAATGTTTTCACCCAATCATTTGATTATTGTGCCTGTAAAACGACTGAAATAAAATAAAATAAATTAGATTATAGATCTCTAAATATTGAACTGCAATTCCTATTATCTATAACTTGGATTCATGATATAATTAAGTATTATTAAGTACTTAGACTAAATTCTATACATCAATTTTTGTGTAGTCTAAAATATACTACTTATTATTGGTAGGTAGGGTAGTTCCGTCTCAACTGAATATTAATTGTACGAAATGATTACATTTCATTTGTATAAATGCGGTGGGACAGATATTTGGGGAAAAATATCGGGGCAATCAATAGAAAGATTCAAAAAACAATACAAACGAGGAATAAGGTTCACCCTATTGCACAAGCTAGTGACTATCTGAACTCAGTAGCTAAGTGAATAACGCGATGACTTTTGAAGTGAACGATATTAGGTTCAAGTTCCTGCGTGAACATCAACTCTGGGATGCAGATATATCCAGCTGACGGGTTTGGGATAGGACGAAGCGCGCTTCCTAGATTTCACTGCCAGCCACCAACCGTCTCTGTTTTTAATGCTTGTGGCTTAATGTAATACCGAGGCAATCCGCACAGGATGCACATATGCCGGTGAAAGACTGATCAATAGCAGTTCTAAACATCAACGAGAAGATTCAAACGACCAATAAAAGGATGAATTGCTGGCCATTATGTATTTATTATTAGAAACTTCATGAATAAAATCTTGTCAATTATTTCAGCTACATTTTATAATAAACATTTATAATGATATATCATAGATATTAATTCTAAAACAAATACAAATTTTAAAAATCTTATTTACTTGAATGTAAATTAACAGTATAATATACCTGATAAAATGCTACATTATACAGTTAGTAAAGTAACAGTCAAACAAATATTATATTCTAAGAAGCTCTGAAAAGCTAAAAAGAACACAGTGGAGTTCAACCAGGTCTGTTGTCAGATAGTAACTCACTCATGACAATGGTGGATGTGTCACTCAATCTTGTGGATTAGTTGAAGTTAGGCATTAACACCGTTGGATACCGACTGACTCAGTGGTCTAGTGGTTAAGTGATCGCGCACGAAACCGATAGGTCCTGGATTCGAATCTCGTGGGGGGTTGAATCGTAGATGCGCACTGCTAAGGAGTCCCATACTAGGACAAAACGGCCATCCAGTACTTCCAGGTTTCCCATGGTGGTCTAGCTTCAAACGACCCATGATCTCAACCATTGAAAAAATAAATTGTTTAAATTTTTCAAGGAAAATTATTTAAAAATTTATTTACTTTAAAACAACTGCACATTGAAGTAGATTCAATAAATGTTATCAACAACAACAACAAAAAAAAACACAGGAAAAGAAAAAGATTAAATAAATGATTCAAATTAATATAAATAAAACTGAATTAACTCACTTCAATTTTAGAGGTAAATTTCAAGTTAAATGAAGAACTAATCAAAAATTATATTATCCATTTCTATATGTATGTATAATTGAACAAGCCTATAAAAGAAATTGATATATAGAAATTCATTTATTGTCATATTTAGTTAAATTAATGAAATACAATTTCAATTGAAATATAGATGAATAAATTGTAATGAAAGGATAGTCATCTTTATAAGAGTATCAAGTTCAAAGCAACATCTAAAAGTTATAATTTAATGCATATCTATACACTTCTCTGTATTTATCAAATCCTGTTAAGTGATTATAGCGAACGAGAACATCAGTGAGGATAATTGAATGTATTCGACTACAAAATTACAGAATGTTTTAATAAAATCTGAGATCCATAAAATAAATACTTCATTTACAAAATGTGAATCAGTTGTATTAGATTTGACTATTCCTTCGTTTCCATACCGATCATTTTATTTTGTTCCCATTCTCTTTTGTTTGATCTTTGTAATTTTCTACTGCTAGACATTTGACTTTCAATTGATAATACATACTACTTATATCTATCGATATCAGTAGCACAAACCACAATATGATAGGATATAAAGACAAAATTACATTCGTTTATTCATTGTGATCTTCTTTTGTTCAATATTACTTTTATTCTTATTTCAATGTAATGATTACTCAGTATAGTTCTTGTTTTCGGTTTTCAATGTAATATTTAATTTGGTAAAACAATAATTTATTTGAGTGTGATGTCTTATTCAAGATACGATAGTCTTGTATTAAAAATTAATATAAGCTATGCTCAGTATAACATATAGCATGTGATCTTGTTATAACTCTGGGTATTTTTCATATATGTGCCTTTATTTTAGTATTCAAAATGAATGTAAAATAAATAGAAAATGAACGCATTTTCGACTAAAGACGTCGTTAAGTTTTTGGGTTAATAAATGTTCACTTGTACCCGTCTTTGTGTTCTTACTTCGCGTTGTGAAAATTACAGTGGTTCCTCGTTTATTCAGGTATAAATAATAAGCGATGCGGATGTACAGAATAGTTAGTAACATTTGATAAAAGACTTTGAGATTATTTTATTACTCATAATCGTTTACCCACTTTAGGTAAATTTAAGATTGGCTGTTACATGTTTGTTTGATTAGAATTAATTTACAAAAGAACAATCTAAATTTTGGTGGAAGTTAGTTTGGTCAATGATATAAATCTATAATAATGAATTCTGGATAATAAGGAATATTTCAGTTAGTTATAAAACCAAAATCTTAACATTAGGCTTATAACAGTTGAATATCTGTTGAATTCATATGAAATTAGTTCACGATAAACTTCATTTTATGTTTACAGTTTGACAAGAATCGTTCACCTTTAGGAATTAGCTATTTTTGTTTTTAGTGAAAGTTAACAGCTTACTAGACTTAGATTGTTTGATAACCAGTATTTAGCATATCTAAGTTTGTTCGATTCACGTTCAAATATATGACCATCTGGGAAGATGAAATGAGAACAATTAGATGCTCAAGATATCAATTAAGCACGACATTCGATAACTGAGTTAACACCTAAGTAAAGCTTTGACGTAAAAATAAGTTTCTTAGTCCCCAATTAGTCGACAATTTAAGTTAGGAGCTTTATAATAAGCCGCTAATTATGAGTGCTATTTATCATTTAATGTCTCACAACACTGTTGACATTGATAAAATATATCAACTTCTCAGACTCAAATTTCAAATGTAAACCAACTCGTTGTCGAACGAAATGGTTTAAAAGTAAACAGAAGAAAATAAGGAAATAGGAAAATAAAGAAGAATCAACAACACACCTCATCTCATTTATACTGATAAAATTTCGTCTAATTCCATCTAAACAGACACTCTCTATCAGGCAAAAAAAACTTCAGCAATTTCATCTTTATTAATCCTTTCACTTTTGTGATTGAGTTAACATTATTCGTGCTTTGATTTTTGCGAATTTTGAAAAAAAGTTAATCTATTTCATCCAAATTGGATTTGGTTATTTTAACCACAGAAGTGTAGAGAACATTCTTAAAAATAGCAGTTACATGAGTTCTACAATATTGATATCGATTCATACGTCACTCAGTGAAATGGCCTGTTTTTTGAAAAAGATGTTTTCATCAAATCGTAACAAATCAACAAAAATGATACTTTAGTGAACGAAAACACCAGTATGGACAGTCGAATGCATTTGAACACAAAATTACGAAGTCTCTGAGCAAAATCTGAGAATCATACAGTAAATATTTAATTTTCAAAATATCAATCAACTGTCTCAAACGTGACTGTTCCTTTTGCAAATATCAGTCAATCGTTTCGAATTTTATTGTTCCTGTATTTTCATACCAAATGCTTTCCATTTCTGCTCTTTCCTTCTCAATCTTCTACGGAAATATATTGTATTCCTGGATATCGTTATATATTATTTATGTGGATACTATTAACTAGTTTCATGACTATGATAAATAATCACTTAATATTCTTTAATACATTTTTATTTAGGTTTCCAGTTTCTTATCCATTCAGGATGCTTACTATCTTTTTAAGTCGAATCAATATCTAATAATTAATCACTTTAATTTTGTAAAAAAGTAGTGAAGTATTTCACTTTGATTTCATTCTACCTTTATTTACTTAACCTTAGATGATATACATAGAAAAAAGAAAACAATTGAATTAATTTACTTACTTAATTAACTAGTTTTATCAGGTCAGAGTTAATGAAGTAGAAATTAGAGTAAAAGTTGTTTGTTTGATTACGTTCAAATTATTTAGATATAGTACTAATGATAATAAATTTTGTCAAAAAATAAAGAAAATATAAAGAAAGAAAAAGAACGAAAAATTAAAGGAAACTAGTGTATTATCAGAAAGAGTTTTGTGAATATTATAGTAATTTCAATGACTGAGATCATGAGTCTACATATGCTTACTAGTGACTGGCTTCACGAGGTATATCTTGGAGTTTTAGTGAGAACTAGTGACCAGTGGAGTTCAACCAGGTCTGTTGTCAAATAGTAACTCATTCATGACAATGGTGGATGTGTCACTCAATTTCGTGGATCAGTTGAATTCACACATTAACACCGTTGGATACCGACTGACTCACTGGTCTAGGGGTTAAGTGATCGCGCACGAGACTGATAGGTCCTGGATTCGAATCTCGTGGGAGGTTGAATCGTAGATGCTCATTGCTGAGGAGTCTTATAATAGGACTAAACGGCTATCCAGCACTTTTAGGTTTTCCATGGTGGTCTAGCTTCAAACGACCCATGATCTCAACCATTAAAAAAACTAGTTTAAACAAAAATTCAATTTTATCCTTTTTGTTTTAATGTGTCAACGAAATTCAAAAGAATAAATGAATAAATAAATAAATAAATTGACAAACTATCCATTTCTTTATAATACAAAAAGTTAATCAATTTAATCCAATAAATCATCTAATTGAATAGTTACTATGTAAACTAAATATATTCAAATGTTCTATTGGATCATAATGGAGTTATATAGTGATAAAATTAACTAAATTGAAATATCAGTTGATTGAATTATTATTGTTTCTAGTTAGTTTTAACTTTAAAAAAAATTTATTCTCACACAGTTCTAAAGATTAATCAGTCATGAAATAATGTAGTTTATCATTTTTAAAATTGTATATTATCTACATGAAATACTGATAACTTAAGCAAGTACATCTGTATACATTTATGTATCTGTATTCATTGATCTTTTTTTTGTTCCCGCTTTTTTTCTTCTTGAAATTTTAAACTTTAGATTTAATTTTTTTGTTTGTCTTGGTACTCATTCTTCATTTCTAAAATAGAATTGATTTTAAATTCACTTGTTGTTGTTTTGTTTGTATCTTCTTATTGTGTTATTTAGGACTTCAATTGATTAGTCTCTGGTTGGTATATTTACATCCTGTGTGGATTGCCTCGATATAAACTTAAGTCACAAGCTTATTAAGCAAAGATAGATGGTGGCTAGTAGTGAATTCCAGGATGTGCGTTTCGTCCTATTCGGGGCTCATCAGCTGGATGTACTTGCATCCCAACAAGAAACTGATCAATTGCTGTCCTAAATAACGATGGGGAGATACAAGTAAAACACCATCAAGTGATATAAAAAAATTCACCTCAGTGCAAAAACAGGTAGCTATCAGGAATCAGTAGCTAAGTGGATAACGCGATGGTATGTGAAGCGAACGGCACTGGGTTTGAGTCTTACAGTGAACATGAACTCTGGGATGCAGGTAAATTCAGCTGATGAGTTGCAAATAGGGAGAAACGCGCGTCTTGGATTCTATTGCTAGCCACTATCTATCTTTGCTTGAAATAGAATCGATTTTGTTTAATAAAAATTTCAGGTTTTAGTTCTACTGCTAAAAAGTTATTTATTCATTTTACATGAAAACAACAGTAGTTATAATCTTACATTATAATCAATTTCTGGAATCAATGTAACTGGTGAGGTTTGTATATGATTAGCAAATATTGTTGTATGACTAGGATTTGTTCCATTTGGTGCACCTGTAATAAGATAATGTGCTTGACCATTTGTAACAAGATTCTCAGATACGGTTGATGGATGATAATTTATTCCAGTAATTGATGATTGTTGAACCGATGGGACTGTTGATGGACCGAATATTTGTAATTGTGGTTGATTATGTTGACTATAAGTTGAGTAAGAATGAGAAAGATGATTAGTAAGAGAATGAGAATGCTGACTAATTTCAACTTGATCATTTTCTGCTCCTATAATATCTGTTTGTAAGGAATGAGTTGCAGAATTAATCAAAGGACTATGATTAGTAGTTTCTCCGTTTTGTAATATTGAATTTATGGTCACAGAATTCAATAAATACTGTAATTTATTGGCACGATTAGTATTAATAAATTCTGCTACCTGTTGTTCTTTATTTTGTGCTGTTGACTGATTACAACTATTGTTAATACTGCTGCAGTTACTGTTACTATTATTATACATATTTAAATGATTGTTCTTATCGTTATTATTATCAGTTGTATTCGTAATGATTGGGATACGCTGATTAGAAGTTACGAATGTGGTTGATTGAATAGGTTGTAATGAATGAGTTAACAGAGATAATAAATTCGATGATGAATTGAGTAAATCATAACTGATAGTTTGAGAATCTTGATTTCTCATTTGATTTGGATCTAATGTAGATGGTAGTAGTCCAGTATGTGGATTAACCATAACACCTGTTGACGGACTATAGAACATTGAATTTCCTTAATGTAAAGATAAAGAAAAAATTCACAGTTATTGTATCTATAACTTTCATGGAATACTGTTTAGAATTATTAAAAAAATCTTTGTCATTTATCCTTAAGGCAAAATGTTTAAAGCTTTAAATAATAACAAAATTTATGATTTTATCATTCCGAAATGATTTATTTATACTACTAAAATTCAGTCAACATCACGTGAAAGGAATCAGAAGAAAGTGGTATGTTTTACACCAATACGTCAGTAATTTCAATTTCTTTTCTTTTTTTTTCTATCCATAAAGTATGAATTTTTCATACTTGGAAAAAAGTAAATGGATATATGAATGTCAATAAATAAAATCGTACTTCATCAAAGTTACATTTCATTTAAGAGTGTTATAAGAATTGTTTTCTGGTTTATGAAACAAATGATACTTCAGTTATAATTTTTTACTTAAACACAATATTTATAGAATCAACTACGATAAAGTTTGTCAATAATTAGATGTTTTCAATCAACAAATGTAAAAAGAAATGTTAATGAGATGGTGGAGAAGATTTGTAGCTCAGGTGGATGATTTTGATGGAGTTTTGTTCTCTCTCACGACCAAACCATCCAGCTCAGAGAACAAAACTCCACCAAAGAAATGTTAATACAATTCAATGGAATACCTAAGATATCAATAGTCTATGAATAATTCACAGAAAGTTATAAACTTAACTATTCTCATATTTAATGCAGTGACCACATAACCTGATAAATGAAACTTAATTTTCACATTACATAGAGTATGGTGAGTGGTTTAATAGGATAGTTTGGTTTATTTGATTGATATGATGACATTCATTATAGGTTTGTTCCATTTGGTAAATTACTGGAAATCGAGAAACAGATGTTATTTTACAGTCTACATCTCTACTGTAAGACACACTTGAAACTATATATGAGGGAAGAAAAAGAACCTTAAGCTTTTACACAGAGTATGATTTTTATTTGGACTATTATTACAAAATGTTATGTAGCAAGACCCTCATCTGATGTGGTTTGTAAGGTACTATGTCACTGCCTGCTTTTTTGACTCTACAAGTTATGTTTTTCAGTGGAACTTTAAATAACATTAGTTTACGATAGAATTTATCCTTACGCTATTGAAGTTTTTGTCAAAGACATCCAAGTGTTCATATATATATATATATATATATATATATGCTATGGTATAAGCTGTTCTTTTCAAATTCGTTGTCATAAACATAGTAACAAAGTGAAATCATTATCCAATCACAGTTATAGGATATTGATTTTATAAGATATATAATTTACTTATCATACTGAAAGGAATATTTATTACAGTTCAGTAGTCAGACACAGCTATTCTCATTCAGTTTATATAATCATATGTATTTCATAAAAGATTTAGTTAACCTACATCGTATGATATATGGATTGTAATCTATTCATATAATTCAAGACTTATTAACTGTCATGACCAAAAACATAATCGTGGTTTCTATCAGAGAATATACATTGCTATGATAATTATTATTTGATACTTCATTTATATTCTCTACAAATATTTAGTCAAAACAAAATAGGATTGTGAAATTTATTAAAAAAGAGAAACTTTTACGTGAAAATTATATAATTTACTTCTATCTACATGAAAATCGTATAATAGCACAGATGAATTTTGACAGGAAAAAACAGGTTCATTAACAGGAATGACTTGATAATCTACAGATCATTAGCATATTTTATGGTCTAAAACGTTATAGTTCATTGTTCTGTAATTGAGTTTAAATCATCAGTGAGTATACAATAACTTGACCAATAGTTGATTTATTATCAGAAGGGGTTTTGTGTACACTATAGTAGTTTTAATGGTTGAGATCATGAGTCAATTGAAACTAGACCACCATGGAAAACTTGGAAATGCTGGACGACCGTTTCCTCCCAGTATGAGACTCCTCAGAAGTGCGCATCTACGATTCAACACCCCCCACGAGATTCGAATCCAGGACCTATCAGTCTCGTGCGCGATCACTTAGCCATTAGACCACTGAGTCAGCCGGTATCTAACGGTGTTAGTGTTTAACTTCAACTAATTCACGAAATTGAGTGACACATCCACCACTGTCATGAATGAGTTACTATTTGACAACAGACCTGGTTGAACTCCACTGGTCACTAGTTCTCACCTAAACTCCAAGATATACCTCTTGAAGGATAAAATGGCTATCCAGTGCTTCCAGGTTTTCCATAGTGGTCTAGCTTCAATTGACTCATGATCTCGACTAAGAGAATAGTTAATTTATCAATATAATATAGTATTATCGTTATGATAAATTTATGGTTACAATAAAATTTACTTACTACAATGAAGTACACTTTTTCACTAACTTCTTAACCATAATTGTTTACAATGGTTGATCAATTCAATTAGAAACTTATTTAACTTAAACTAAATTTATTATAATCTAAATTAATTGATCATTTCAATTCATTGAACATAATCAAAATATAACTTTTAAATCTTTTTCTAATTTTAACTTTATACATAATGTGGATTGTTTTCACTTCTTTTTTTTAATATTCTATTTCATTTCATATTGATTACAGTCAGTCAATCATTTGACTAAATGTAGATAGTAAAAATTATTAAATTAAACAACAGGAATCCAAATAACAAATCATGTTATTGTTTGTTTTTTTAGAAGGTTGGAGGGGAATTTCAATCTTTTCCTTGAATATACAGAAACTTTTTTTTCTTCAGAACAACAAAACACACAACATACTCTGTGTTGATGAAGTGGAAATATCTCCAGAAATATTGAAACACAAAACAAAGTTACTATGATTATCATTATTGTGTAAATTGTTTTGAATTTTACACGTATTTTAAATTAGGTCAGTTTTTTTCTTTGATTGTTACAAAAAGCTAAACAAAACAATAATAACATCAGCGAAGCATATTAAATAGAAAAGAAAAACGAAGAAAAATGCTAATTAGGTATTTTCTTTTTCCTCTATCCATGTGTATTAGATACGCAATTGGTTGAAATATACTCATATATATATAGATACGGAAACATACTGAGAAATACACTTTACTCTATGCATAAATTGTATATAATTCTGTGTATTATAAGTAGATATTACTTTTATACTATGAATAACAATTGATTATAAAAGAAATGTAAACCCATCTCTTTCCTTTTACCCTAAGATATAGAAACATCATTTTCAAAATATGTATCTATCTATCTATCTATCTATCTCTATACATATATACAAATGTGTGTTTGTGTATTTGAATAATTTTTTTTTGGTTTTGTTACTTAATGAGAACAACGGACAATTATCGATTAAATTGGAAAATGGAAATGAAATTTAAGAAAATTAAAAAAAAATGGTTACAGAATTTGTGATACTTTTTTTTACTTAAGGAACTTTTATTCATTATGTATCCATTCACTTATTTGTTTTGATTCATTCTACAGTATTTTACCTTCATGGAGCATATATAGTTTATTTATGTACTAATTAAATCATTGCCATTATTTAATTATTGTTAAGATGATTATTGATTGTGTTACTCATTGTTCATATGATAAATGAAAATAAATAAATACTGTCAATTATAGTTAAAATTGATTATTCAAGTATTAAAGACCGATAAATATAAATAGACATATCGCGGATTGGTTGATGTTAGACACTAACACCATTGGATGCCGGCTCAGTGGTCTAATGGTTAAGTGCTCAGGCGCGAAGCCAGTAGGTCCTGGGTTCGAATCCCGCGGGGTGCGGGGTGCGCACTGCTGAGGAGTCCCATACTAGGACGAAACGGCCGTCCAGTGCTTCCAGGTTTCCAACGGTGGTCTAACATCAATTAATTCATGATCTCAACCACAAATTCGACATATCTATGTAATCATTATATATAAACGAATGAGTTCACAAGGATACTCATCTACCAATAAATTGGTATTTTCAGGTCAATCATATAGTTAATAAAGCGATCATTCAACTTGATAATATTTTTATATATCTTTGATTATATGAATGACATATATGTAAAATAGATAAAATAAACTATTGAAAAATCAATATAGTAAATCACTAGTCAACATGTATTTATATTTCTGTCTTGGGGTGGTTGTGTGAAAGAAACGTGGGTTTCTTTTTTCTTTTCTTTTTTTTCTATAGAATAAACGGTATCGTTTTTAATGTATTGATAAAGGAAGTTTTACATAAAAATGGTTTAAAGTGATAAGAAAGCTGACTACCATTTACCAACGTCTTGGATCAGTAATATTATATATCGATTCACATATATGTATACGAAATGAATAGGTAATTCAGTGTGTACTATATGTGATAAAAAAAAGATATTTACTAGTTAATATTTGGTTGACATGATTTAATAGATTATCACCATTCAAGATCAAGATCAATGAAATTTACATAGATTCGTAGTGGATAAATATGGAAGGATTTACACTAAGGTGGTCTATTTGGTGTGGTACTTTTTTATCTTTCATAAACTTTTCTTACATAAACAAGAATCTCATATAATCAAATGAAATAAAGGAATATTTCACTGATTGAAATAATCAGTCAATTGAAGCTAGACCATCATGGAAAACCTGGAAGCACTGGACGGCCGTTTCGTCCTAGTATGGGACTCTTCAGCAGTGCTCATCCACGATCCCACCCCCCGCGAGACTCAAACCCAGGATTTGCCAGTCTCGCGCCAGGCGCTTAACCAACTAGACCACTGAGCCACTTGGTATCCAACGGTATTAATTTCTAGCTTCAACTAATCCACGAATTTGCGCCACCGTACACCATTGTCTTCAGAGAGTTGATATCTCACAACAGACCAGGTTGAACTCCACTGGTGACGGATTCTTACTAGAACTCCAGGAGTATCTCTGGATTTCAATCAGTGAGTTTTCTAAAATCTCCAAAAAACCCCTTCTGAAAGAAATATTTATTTGGATGTAGCTAAAAGATTCAATCTAAAAAATGAGCCTATTTTGTCATTTTTCCATAAATAAACAGGATTCAGTGAAGAAAATTTTCTTTTCCATGAAATTATTTACTTAAGATGTACATTCTAATTTATAGTCGTATGGTAAATATATGTCTATAGAAGGATAGAAAAGATTGTATCGTAAGTTGATTCGAGACTCCAGTTATCAAATGATGTTGCGTAATAATCAGTGTCAGAGAAGAATTGAAGGATGAAAGTCATTTACGGACCAGAATTATGAAAGATGATTGTCCACTTGACAGGTGTGGAGAAAAATGAAAAACATAAGGATCATAGTAGTAATAAAATAATTTGCTCCTGTGGGGCAGGCCACATTGGCTGCACAGAGCGATAATTTCCAAACGTATCACAGAACATTACCTGGCGTGGCATTTAAAAGGACAATGTGAAACAGGTACCAGTTCGATACAGGAGCATTTAATCAACTCTAGATACGTCTCTCTGAAGGAGTCTTCCTTCAAAATAATCAAAAGGGGGCCGAATCAAGAACGTATGCACTGCTGAAGCGTTGGTGATCCACTAATTCAGGCGCGATACATCCAACCCCTCATCCTTTTTTGGCTTCAGTTGCCCTATGTAGCATATTTTGACCCTGTTTTTTTTATTGATTTGTAGTTTTAGACCGTAGTCAGTTATTATCACCCTTCAACAATTTTGTATTATGACTAGTCAGCTATTTTTATGACCTTTGTGTTTTTCGCCTTTTTTCATATCTGTCAAGCGGACAATAATCTTTCATAATTCTGGTCCGTAAATGACTTTCATCCTTCAATTCTTCTCTGACACTGATTATTACGCAACATCATTTGATAACTGGAGTCTCGAGTCAACTTACGATACAATCTTTTCTATCCTTCTATAGACATATATTTACCATACGACTATAAATTAGAATGTACATCTTAAGTAAATAATTTCATGGAAAAGAAAATTTTCCTCACTGACTTATCCTTATTTTAAAAAAAGAACATCGAAAAATCACTAGAATTATAGAGTACTAATTTCAAAACAAACTATTTAGAAAGTGTTGTAATAAGACTTAGATACTATTTAAAGTAATAGAAGATTCATAAATTGCATATTTTTTTTGTACAACATCTATATCGAGGCGATCCGCACAGGATGCACATATGTCAACAGAAGACTGATCAATTGCAGTCCTAAATAACAATGGGAAGATACAAGTAAAATAACATCAAGTGAATTTAAACTTCACCCTATTGCACAACCAGGTGGCTATCAAGAGGTAGTAGCTAAGTGGATAACGTAATGGTATTTGAAGCGAACGGTACTGGGTTTGAGTCTTACAGTGAACATGAACTCTGGGATGCAGGTAAATCCAGCTGACGAGTCGCGAATAGATCCTGAATTGCACTGCAAGCCACTATTCATACTTGCCTAATTTAAGAAAATAGTTTGGTGACTTTTGATCTTTCGTTATACTTGCTATATGTTTTTGTCATTTCATTGAAAAGATAGATTAATAAAGTTTCATCGTTAATGTTTAACTTGTTTTACTTCGTGCAACAACTAGAAATGCTATAACAAACATGAAAACTATTTCAGCAATTCAGTCATCCAGCTACAACGTAGGTCCAGGAACATTTATGCATCGGTCCAAGTTACCATACCTCATTAGCACAGGTAGATGAACACCAGATTCATAGAAATAGTTGGTTCAGTGGTGGTAATATATAAAAGAAAGATTACATAGAAGGATATAGTACAGGAAGAAAGATGTAAATCGATTTTAATCTCATAGTTTAAGGGAAGATAAAGAGTTTATACACCCACGCTATTGTGATCGATTCTGAGCCATGTCAACCAGAGTCTCCAACCATTGGTTAGGATAGTCACGCGGGCCTCAACCAAGTGATTTACATCTACCAAAATGGTTCAAACCAGAAGTTAGTGACTTCAATGATTTACCATCATTCCTTAATACCTTGCGTCTAACCTCGCTATTACTTACCCGGTGATCCCATCAGATGCGAGCAATATATACTGTGTACTTGATGTTGCATTTTTGAAACTGTTGGTCGGATTACGAATTAATCTAAAGTAATTCGATCAGCACTAAGAATTTCACTAGAATAACAGTGTTTACTATTTTCCATTATTGTCGTTTTATTATAAAATATGAATCTTACGCTTTACAGTTTTCAATTGAGAGTGAACTTCGAAAATAAAAACTAATGTTTTTTTGACTGGATGAAAAGCTGGTAAACTTAAGAATGTCGCCTTGTAGACATTAGGGATATAGATCACCTTAACAAAAAGTGCTGCACAACCTTTAACAGGACTATAGCCCATACAAATGTTCATTTGTCCAAGTCACCGAACTTCATATTATAGCCAAACATAGTGAAACTAATAAAGCCGACATCTGTTAAAAATAGAGACAAGAAATTCTAAATAACTGTATGTATTTGTAGAATGAAAGATAAAGTCATTAATTGAGAAAAATTGACAATTGTTGATTTTTTCACAGATTGAAATCATGAGTCAGTTGAAGCTAGACCATCATGGAAAACCTGGAAGCACTGGACAGCTTCAACTGACTCATGATTTCAATCTGTAAAAATTTCTAAGATCTCCACAAACCCCATCTGATAATTGTTGATTTTGACAGACTGCTACTAGTTGTGAGTCATGTTATATGAAATTGCCAAATTCAGAATAAAAATGCCTTCATAGACTTAAGTCAGCGAACGTTTTCAAACTTTATACTTTGTGAGATAAGTTTAAATCCTACAAAGAATATCATTTCCCTAAAAATAATTGACAGTTCTCTCTGACGAGTGCTAAATGCTAAGAAAATGTGCTTGTTACAATTAACTATCAAACACACAGAAAATAAACTGTTTGTTAGAGATAAAGTTTATAAAAGGTATTGTATTTATTATTCAGACTAATTTACTAGAAACTGACATTAATTGGTGGACTAGAGCAAATCAAAGAGTACTGGATAGTAATTTCATATTATTTTAAAACTATACACTGGTGTGTACTTTCAATTCAAATTTAATACCCTAACCAAATTGCTGACATTCTCGAACTTTTGTCGATGTATTATTCTGGACTGTTCATATTTAATTTTTTCGTTGTTGACGACTATCTCTATCATTGACCATGGTAATTCTGTCTGTTAATAATGTTTATTAGAATGTTGGAGTATTCATCATGAAGTTAGCAATAAATTTTTTTCATTTAGATGATTTCTTTCTATGCCTTGTTTATTATTTGATATTGCATTTCAGTCTCAAATAAAAATATCACTCTGCTGTTCCTAATCTTCAAAATAATTCTATTCTATTTAATCATTTTTCATTGTTTTGAATTTGTCAGTTTGGCCATTATACTAACGTACACTTGTAACCCCTCATGGAGGAGCATTGGCCACCCACCAGCATTTTCTATCGAATTCTATTCCGGTTAATCCTTGGCCACTATAACTATGCAGTTATTAAAACGAAATACACAGTGACCTGAACTGTACTA